GATTAGTATACTAGTTTTAAAATGTCTTTTCTAGTAGAAGTTAAATGATTACTGTAGGCAGGCTAGCATTAAACTTATTGCTAATCGCACATAAAAGATGTTGTTTCTTTCCAAATGTATATCTTATAATATACGAATAAATAAAGAAATGGTGTTTACCTACTCAAAAAAAAAAAATAAAAAAATATGAATTTAAATAAATAATAATAACTTTTATAATAAGTTTATTATTATAATAAATAATATTATAATTATATAATTTTCAAATAATCATAAGTAAAAGCCAATATCAAGTTAATATTAAATTATCAAATAAATATTAGCAAATGAATTTGATATTATAAAACAAGTTTTTAACTGAATATTACAAAACCAAATATTTTTATATTAAACAAACTTATAGATTAGAAAAGATGAAATTAACAAGTAAATATTAACAATAGTATAAAACAAAAACTTTTCTAGTTTAGAAATAAAAATATATAATAATCAAACAATTTAAGAACAAAATACTTTTATATTAATGCAAATACAAATTCAGATATAATTAAATTTACAAAATTAAAACAATCCAAAAATATATTAATAAAAATTCTTTTGTTTTTTTTAATTAAATAAACAAGATTGTTAAATATAAAAAAAATAAAAAGCTATTGATATTAATAGAAGCCTATATATTAGAAAATCAAATTAAAGCCAAATCAAAAATTTTTTAAATGATATTATAATCTTATTAAAATTATAATATATAAGAATAGATAATTATAAAATACAAATTATTTAAAATAATATTGCATTAAAAGATTATTATATAAAACTATATTTAAAATATAAACTCAATAAAAATAGTAATTATAAAGGTACTTATTAATTTTATATAAACAAAACAATAGAAAAGCTTATAATTAATTTATAAAAATAAAAGTAATATAATTTTAAACAAAAAGAATAAATTAAAAAAAATATTTTAACTAAAAATTAACAATTATTTATTATTTACAAGACTTAAACTAATAACAATTTTCTAATAATATTATTAATATCAGCTTAAAAATCAAAATTAATAATATCAATATATTAATATATTTAGACAATTAAATAAATTTTATTTATAAAATACAATTTTTAAAGAATAGCTATAGTTGCAACATATTAAAATTAAAGTTTATAATAAAAATATATTAAATAATTAAATTAATTAATCAATTAAAATAATAAAAGAAGAATTAGAAATTAGATAAAAAATATTGTAATTAATAATTTTAATTATAATATTGAAATAAAACAATGTTTTAATTAATATTTTAATAAAATCATTTATTAAAGATTATATAAAAAATAAATATTATACAATAAATATCTTTTAATAAAATTCAACAAAAAAGAAAAAAAATCAAAAAACCATAATATAATTAATTAAAAAGATTTTTGATATTATTATAATAATAAAAGATTACCAACTATTTATTTAAACAAATATAAAATAATATATTTTACATGTATATCAAATATATATATAACAAATTATTAACTATAAATAATCCAATTAAACATAATATTCAAAACCCACTCAAAAATATAAAGAACTATTAGATTATTTAATAAGTTTTATATATTTTAAATCTCAAAGCATATTATAAGGATGAAATAAATTGTATTATTAATTAATGAAATAATAAAAAAAATGAAAAAAATTTTATTTTCAACAAAAGAATTATCAATATTAATATAGAACTTTAAATAAGAAAAAATGGATTAATATTTTTTAATTGATCAATATTTATAAAAAATAGTATCAAAAATTCTGAAATAAATATTATAAAATATAAGATATGAAAGAATTCATAAGTATAAAAAATTATATAATAAAAGAAAAAAAACAATAGATTCTTTTTCCAAAAATATCAAGAAAAGTTTTTAAATCAAATAGTAAATTCAAATTATAAGAAGAAAAAAAAGAAGACAATTAAGTTTTAAAAAGTATTAATATAGTAAAAAATAAAAGAAAAAAAACAATTAACTTAATAATATATAAATAGATAAAATAATAATAATACGTAATATTGATAAAATTAAGCCTTTAAAGATCTTTATTAAAAGATACCAAGTTCAATTTCAGGTAAAAACCATTGAACTAATTTAATAATAATATTTAATATTGTGATCTGTTAAGCATTATTTTTCTATATAAAGCCACTAATTTATATACTGTATATATACAATATATTTGATATTTAATTAAAAAAAAAAACAATAAAAATTAATTGTAAAGTATCATAAAACATGATTTAAAATAAACTTCTGTTGATTTATTTATTTATTTTATTTTACAATTATGATTAATCACGAATCTTAATTTAATAAATTTACATAAAAAATGTGAAATAAAACATTTAATTTTAATAAAATATACTGTATATACGGTATATGCTGAATGTTATTATTTTTCATATAATATCAATTAAATCCTTACTTATATTATTGTTTTAAGAAATAATCATTTGTCCTTTATTCATAGGTTAAAAAACAATATCCAAAACAACAACACTCTAATTATACGATAATTAAACGAAAATTGAATAAAAAATGGGGAGTTTTTTTTTATTTACACGGGATGTTTCATAATTGTTTCAAGAAAAAAGTGAATTGGGATTTTGAAAAAATTTAATAAAAGATTATCTAAAGGAATCGATGCAAAATGAAATAACAATGGTCATCTAATGAAATATCGATAATATACTGTACAATAATATACAGTAAATATAAATTCACGTTTTTGTGAATAAATTGACAGAAATAAATCTTTTGATAATAAAAAAATAAGATCAGCTTTAAAACTTATTAGATCGCGATGATCGGATAATTTTGGCAGATGGGTGTACATGCATACATTATATACATTATGTCGATGGTAGATTAGATTATTTGAAATTTACATTTGCAACATCTTATCGGCTCATTGGTATGCGACGCATTTCATTTGAAACTTGGTTTAACGATAAGGATGATCGATATGCAAGGGATAAATTTTTTAATATAATTTAACAAACTGCTTTTTTTTTAGGTTATATGCAATTCGAATTGAAAAGCCATAGTAAATTACACAAGAAAATGACAACTTAATTAAAAAATCCGATTAACGTTCGCGGGCGCATTACAGTGTCAGAATTTATTTTTTGGTGTAGGCGAATGCCCGATATACTTTAGACGGGCGTGTGATTATAACATGACTTGAGAAAAATGAAATGCCGTGCGTAATTTACAGTCCAAACTTGGTTATAAACAACCTCTTGCGACTTTATTAGTGTCATTTGACATTGTGAGTACGTACATAATTTTCACATGTATAATAACAATGTCGTGTACATACATTATGAAATTTTTGACACATTGTTATACAATTAAAAAGTCTCCTTATATGGCTTACCGCATAGAGTTTCACCGAAGCGTTATCCCCGAACATTTGGTCGCTTAGGAAGGGATATTGTGAAAATTTTTTTTCAAAAAACTGTTCTCGGAGATTTTACCATGATCACGTGAAATAATATTTCTAATCGGAATTGCGTAACAATTCTTATTCTTTATGTTTTTGTGCGTCTTTAAGCAGTCAAAAGAGAGTATATGTAACGTAAATGTATCATTACTTGGGCTGACATGATATTTCGTACATACTCTAGATTGGCATACTTTCGATCGAACAATCGTGCATGCATCTTTTGAAGGTTACAGTTTATAAATATGATTATTTAAATATACTAGTTTTAAACCTAGTTTTAAGTTTAACCAGTTTTGTTTAACTGTATGCTTAGAATTTATTATATTCGTAAATTTTATGTCATTTGATTTTTAATATGCACCCCTGTTTCTTAATAGATGCTATAATAACGATCATCTCCGTTATTCGATATTCGGATTAAATAATAGCGTTCACGAAATATTCATTAGATGAGGGAAAGCGTACGAAAAAAAGATATGCGAAAATAAAAAAAAAGAAAACAACGATAAAAAAAAAACCCGAAAAAAAAGAGAATTACGAATTATCGATCGAACATGGATGTTTCCCAACAACTTAATTCTATAAACCGAACGGGAGAGAAAATTTTTACTTATTCGAAATCGGATCTATAAGAAAAAAAAAAACGAGCTTAGGAGAAATGTTTTGTCATGCACTGCATGTTTTTTCATACGAAATAAAAAGGAATGATGGGAATGATCTCTTATTCTAAGATCATTGCCGATTTATATGGTCAGCGAGTCGCATGTAGAGCTCACGATCATTACTCGTGGCACTCTTCCATAGCTCATAAGCGACCCATTTTATTACTCTCATGTCCGTAATCCTTATGCGACGTGCCTCATGGTATACATTATGGCTAAATATATCATAGCCCTTATGAGGTTTTCTCCGGATTGTTCGTCCGTTCAATCTTCGTGACAGCAAGTGGTATGAACGGTTATTAGGTGGAGGGAATATATTGTTTCGGTTAAGGTTATTGATAAGGGTCCTTGCGGTATTAGATAGATGTGAACGTTCGGACATGACAAGCGTATATTGAGGAAGTTTGACATTTGCCTAATATTCTTTTTTAGTACATTTATATATCAATTTCAGATGATAACTACATGTGGAGAAAACTTTTTCGAGATTCGTTCGCTCAATAAGGTGCATACTTTTTTTTTAATGCATGTGGTGAAGGGCTAGTCTTGTTTTTTAATCCCTTAATGCGAACATGGTAATAATGCGTCTTTAGTAAAAGGTAATGATTTTTTTTTCACGCATGCTGATAAAATGCATGGAAATGCACAAATCTGTATGCAGCACTTTGACAGGTGCAGATTTGTTACACGAACAGGTTTTGTTTTCTTTATCAAAAGAAAAAAAAACATTATGTAATGGTGAAAACCGAATTCCTGCTATTCTATTAGAACTCGATTCTTTAAATAGTTAAGTTCAACAAGATTTTCTCGTTTATTAAGACGCGATTGCCATATTGTGAAGATTCGATAGGTAAACGGGCGATGCGGAAAATTTTTTTGTGCACCGTGGATTCGCTTGGTCGCGAATATTTATTTCATTTTTGGAATAGAGCGTGAATATATTGACTTTCTCATGTCAGTACTCGAATACATTTTTGTAATAGAACCTGAGTTGCATTTTGCTTTTGAGAATTTGGCTTGCAAATAATTGCGTATTCGACGCTCGTATTAGAAAGTAATGATGATTATGAAAAAGGAAGGTTATTATTGCATGTTCTAGAAACTTTACGGTATGAATCAAATGTTAAACCTGGATTTAATTTTGTTTCGCGCCCGAAACCGATGTTCAGTGACTCCTTAAATTATTTAATTTTCATTGTTCTACTGTATTTATTACTGTATATACTGTATATAAAGATTTGTTTACTATTACATTATATTGTTGTCATTATCAATACTCATATACTGTATGTATATAATATACAATAGATTTCAATAAATATAAAACTTATTAGTGAATATGCAATGCATAAAAAAAAAGTGTCACTTTGCCGTTATTGAAGTTGCCGTTATATTAATGCATTACATATCTGTGTCTCGTCTCACCAAGATAAGAAATTTTGTCAGAATGCGATTGCAGAATTTGTTTTCTTTGTGTCCATATCTTGCCAAGTATAATTTGACAGTTTTCAAGCACAACGTGAAAAGTCATATAAACCTACTAATTAGTCTACTTTTGTTGATCTATGCAATAGAAAGATATATTTTTTTTTTTTTTTTTTTTTTTTGCATGCTAACTATATCCTTTTGCGATTTATTGAAAAAAGAGCCAAATAACATCCACTTCATTTTGACGCCACATGCCTGATAAAAACTGTGCAGATAACTGAACCTTCCTACGGAAAAGCGCGCGCATTGGATATGATAAAATGATGCATTACATTGTGCTCCTTACTTTGCGAAATCCAATGTTTCTTGCATGAGATTCTGACCAGAACATTTTCTTTCTCTTTCAAAATCGTGAAAAACACACACATATCATTGTTATAAGCGTTAAGTGTAAGTATCTTGCTCTTATAAAAGGGACATTCAGCAATCACAATATAGCAACCTGAAATCCTCACACCTTTGACGCGATCAGCTTGCTTTTTGAGATGTGCAAAAATCACGTTGTCCGTCACGCGATTAAAATATCACGTGTTATGAGTTTCGTACTACGTATTGCGTATTTTGAATGATAAAATACGTATATGCTGACAGTGCATTTGGCGTACCATAAAAAAAACTCATGACTGTTGGGGCATATGAAAATTCCATAAATATCCACTTTATAGACCTACTATCTATGATACTGAACAGGCGCCAACGTAAAAACATTTCGAGATATTTGTAATTGTATCCTTTTTGGATGTTCGAGATAGTTAAATTTAGAACAGATAAAACCCCTATACTGTATAAACAACCATTTCGGGTTTTGAAAAATGTGTTGTTTGCCAATGTTGTTGTTATCTTATTATGTAAACATTATTATATCACCTGTATTTACAATATATGTTTTTTTATATATTCTTATTGGGAATACAATAATTTATTTAAATTAATTATTTTATACAAACATATGCTGTATATTTATTTAAAAAAATATTTTATCAAATATATATATATATAATAATAAAATTATAATAAATTTTGCAATGTGATTTTTTTAATTTAGTAATTATTTCTTAAAATTTATATACACAGTATATACTGTATATTTATTTATATTTTAATAAAATTTTTATTTATTATATAACATATGCTTTATGTTTATTAAATATTTTATAAAAATATTATAAATTAAAACATTGTTATAAAAAAATATTAAGAATTTTAAAATATTTATTTTTTATTAAAATCTTATATATATATTTTTTAATATTTTTTTAATAAACAAAAAATATACTTAAATTAACAAAATATATATTATACTTTTATTTTGATTTATTTTTTTTCAAATTAAAAATACAAATTTAATATTATTAAATAATCTTTAAATATTATATTGATCAAATTATTTATTTATAATTAATAATTTGTTATATATATAGTTTCAAAAATTGGAATTAAACATATTTGCATAAACTTGTATAAGATTTAAAATATTATTAAAAATAATAGTAGGTTATAATTCACATATTAAATTTAATATAAACCTAGAATCAAAAATTAAATTGAATTAAATCATTGGAATTTTTAGTAATCATAAAATTATAAAGTTATACTACTATAAAACAACAAATTAATCTCTTATTAATCAATATATAAGATATTTAATAGTTAATATTATTAATATATAAAAATAAATATATTATATAAGAATCAAATAATATAATATTTATAGAATACTAATTACAAAAACAATAAAAACAACTAATAATCCAAACAATATATCCTAATATCGTTTATATATATTATAATAAGATATTGTTAGATAGGCAAAAAAATCAAATAAAAATTTAAAAGCTGTAAAAATTTTAATACTATTAAAAACTCTATAATACTTAAATAATATCTTAATAGTATTAAAAAATATATTTATAAAGCTATCTGAATTTAAAATAAAATTAATAAATAAAATAATATCTATATATACTGTATATTGATAAACCAAATTTAATTATTGATTTTAGAAATACAAGTATTAAAATAATATATAACTCAAATCATATATACAATATAAATTTAATATATATAAATAATCAAATCTTTGGTAGCCTTAACCAACTAAGAGTCTATGAAGTATTTGCTAAAAGGTTTAGGAGTCACGTCCTACTAGACCTGATGATTTCCAGATTTGGTAGTCTGTGCCAATTATAGGAACAACTCTTGGGACATTTACTAAAAAGTGTAAAGTAGTAAGTTTCGCAATATCTGGCATATGTGTTGTGGAGTAAAGTGATAGGAGACCCTAATGATAGTTAAATAGACAAAAAACAAAAAACAAAAGTCCTTTATAGTTCATGCTCGAGTATAAATCCACCTTTATAGTGTTAAGTTGGTACTTGGATTAGAATAAGGGCAGTACATCAGTTAAATTAGACTGTTTATGTAATGATTATTTGTAATCTTCAATCTATAATAAAATCCTCATGTATATTGCACTTTAACTCTTAAAAAAAATAATAATCAAATCTTTAGTAGTATATGCTAACCATAGAAACAACTCTTGGAGCATTTACTAGAAAGCATAAAGTAATAAGTCTATTTATATCATTAATTGCATGAGCAGATAGTAGAAATGTAAAAAAAAACCTAATGATAATTAATATATTAAATCACAATTAGATCTTTACAAAAACTGGAAGATCAGATAGTTTAAAACTAGAGGTAGAATTTTTATCTTTTTGATGCTTTTCACCTAGCATATAGATCTATCAATCAATATGTTAGAATAAAAAAGCAATAGGTTAGTATTAACTTTAATGGATACTTAATATAATGACAGTACTATCACTTAGTAAATAAAGTCTTACATTTTATACCTATTTGCAAAAAAAAATAAATAATAAAAAAATAAATAGTCGAATCTTAATATATAGAATAAAGATCTTAATAATAATAATTAGGGCTTCTAATGATATCACTTTGATACCAGTTCGATACTTAAATTTACTATAAAAACATATGAGTAGGTCACAACCCATATATTAAATTTACTATAGATCAGTACTATTTCGATACCAGTTTGATATTTTTTCGGAGCCCTAGTAATAATAAACATCATTTCTGAATAATAACAAAATAATAATAATAAAAACAAACTCAATTATTCTAATTAATAATATTAATAAAATTAAAGAAAATTAACAAATACTATCTTATATATAATTTATATTTAATCTTGAAAAAAACAAGTTTTATTAACTAATATAATAACAGTACTATCATTTAATAAATAAAGTCTCATATTTTATACTTATTCTCATTTTTTTTAAAAAAAATAAGTTTTATTATTATATAAATCAAAACAAACAAAACAAGCCAAGTAAATAATTATTCTTACAAACTAGTAAACAAGATAGTAAAAAAAAATTTAAATCCAAACAATATAAAATATTGTGTTAATACAACTGATTAAGTAAATAACACATATAATTTTATTTATGTAATTCTTTTTAAAGATAGATAAAAAATTTTCTAACTATATAGTTATACTCTTAGAATTTATATTGTATATATATTGTTTAAAAAATAGGAATCAAAAAATCATATATAATATTTTTGTTATTTTTAAAAAAATTAACCATTTAAGTATAAATAGAATATAAAAATTTAAACAAAAATATACAATACAGTCAAGATACTAGAACAATATAGATATATACAAAAATAAAATTAACCAAAAAGAAATAACAAATATCTAATTCAAAACTAATAAAAAGAATTAACATAGTAACAATCTTTTGCAAATATATATTTTATTAAAATAATAGAAATAATAATCAAATATATAAAATAATATTATTAAAACTTTTATAATGAAATCATAAAATTAAAAATTATTAACTATATTTAAACTCT